CTGTACGTTCTGTGACGCTGCTGTTGTCAGTAGCTCCTGATTAAACAGATAAAGGGCTGTGCTAAGTAAGTGTTAATGTCAGTGATCAACCATCGCCCTGATCACCCGGGGCTGTTGTACAGTGATGTCAGAAGGCAGCTGCCTTCTGGGTTTCCAAGGCGTCTTTGAGGAGTAAACCAGCGAATGAAACACAAAATATAAAAACATCCAAGTGGTTTGCATAATACCAGTTTAATAATCGATCCAAGGAGCTTATCCAGCTGTTTCTTGAAAGATGCCAGGGTGTCAGCTTCAACTGCATGGTGGCTTAGCTTGTTCCACACCTCCACAACCCCTCTTGTAAAGAATTGACTCCTGTTTTAGATGTAGATCCACTTATGCCCTTTGGTTTGTGTCCCGTTGTTCATGATGAAGAATTCCGTTGGGATCACTTTGTCGGTGTCACTGTCAGTGCCCTTGATGATTTTGATTTCTAGTCTTTTCTGTTCAAGACTCACTTTTGGAAAAGCTGAGTGCTAAAGATTATTTACATTTTATACAAATTGGATGGACCCATGGCAATGTTAAGTAATTTCTGTTTTCCCAGAGGAAAAAAAATATGGAAGAATTGTGCTTATATGTTATTCTAATAAAAACAGACCTGGAAGTCATAATCATTTTTATTAATAATTTAATTATAAAGGTAATCTTGTGGGGTACTTGAATTACATGGATACTTGCAGTTCTTCATGATAAATTAGATGAATTAATAAAGACAAAGGCACCACCTTCAGCATAGCCACTCGATTCCCTAGCCTGGCAGGATAGCAGCCTACCCCTAACCCTTCACCCTTGACCATTGACCCTTGACTCTTGACCCCTGACCAGCAACCTGTGCCCTGGGGTGGTCTGGGCTTCCTGGTAGTAAATTGCCCTTGTTATTGCTGCACTTGCTGGCCAGCGCTATTCCTACAACACCCGAAGCCCTGCTCTGTGTCCGGAGTCCGCGCTGTTCACTGTTGTATTGCCTACGAGGGTTTTACAGGATCAGAATCCCCGCCTTTTCGCTCTAAATCTCTCATTTCACAAAGTGGTCGGTTCTCTTGTTTTCTGTAAAGGATTCAGTCCTTCAGACCCAAAGAAAACAAACAGGTACACAAGTTATTCACACATTTAGTGCCATTTATAAAGGATTTATAAGTGAGATATATAAAGTATAAACAGAGTGACAGAAATTGTAACAAGCCTTCAGTGTAGGTAGATAAATCCTAGTACAGTACAAACCCTAATAATGATCACAGTCTGAACCATACCCTTATTTAGGATTAGGGGTATGTAATTGTTACAAGAATTGTTGATAACATCGTTAATAACCTGTTAATAGATTGTATATAAACACTTTTAATAAATGCCTAAACCAAAGTGATTCAGCCAAATCATTCTTGGCTAAAAAAGTCATTATCTAATTATTAATTGGGAATAGCTTTCTGTGTTGTGCATTGTTACACAACATTTTACTGTAGGAATGTCACATAGCTTGCTGATATAAGGCATGAGGTCACTGACAGTCATCGCAGCCACCTGAGGCCACTAACACAAAAGCATACTGCATGTGGCTTAAACTAACATGTTTAGATTCGATTAAGCTGTGCATTAATGTGTCTCTGTATGACAAATTTCACGGAAGAAGTATTAGTTGGGTCCCGATGTCCTTATTATTTGATGGCTTTTAATGGTTTTGTGCCTTTTGCATGTGGAGTTCAGCTCTAAATGATTTATGAACACACAAACGTGTCTCTCTCCAGTGGAAAGTTATGAGGTTGCCTAGTGATGAATACATCAGCTCAACCCCAGCTTCGCTTTAGTTCAGACTCTATCAGCATGTGTTTCTATTATTATCATCACATGATATCTGTATGTATGTTGTCAGGCCAAGGGGAAGGAGGCAGAGAAGAGGAAGAATGAATTAGAAGAAGTTTGCAGTTACTCGCATCCGTTGTCCTAGAATCCATTTTTTCTGCAGTGTGAGAGGCATTAATTGACAGGATCCACCAAAATATCCAGCACAGAAAAAAAAGATTCTTCTGAATCCTTTAAAATAAGAATGTAGATGATAAAGTGAAATCACTTGTAAATCCCCCAACAGGAGCAACTGTAGAGGTTAATGCTTTTAACAGAAGATCTTTAAGTGCAGAGCTAGAAAATACCCACAGACAAATCTGGGGATACAAAATGATATTACTGTATATACTGTACATGGGTGTCCACAAATTGTGGCAAAGGGCAACACCAGAGCAGTAGAGCATTAAATCACAGTGTTGAAATGACCTGAATGACAGACTTACCAATAAGTGAACACCAGAGGTATTGTTTTCGTAATAATGCTGTAGAATATGCATGGGCATTTTAACTTCTACCTGCATACTCTTCATGAACATACTGTAGCTCCTGGCTGCAGGCCTGCTGGAAGTACTTTGCTTACTGGAATCCAAACTGATTACATTTTCTAGTTTCACTGCACTGTCATGACAACTTGAGAGTGCCAGAAATGATTTCAATCCTTTTAAGACAACTTTCCATACAAACTATATCATTTTTTTCTTCCAAGACTTCCCACATTCTTGAAAGTTTTATTTAAAGGATTGCAGTGTGAGCAGCAACTGTTATTGTTATGGAACATAAGGTCTTTTGTACCTAACAGAATGCGAAATGTGTCGTTTTCTTTATTCTTAAGTTCAGAGCCAGAAAAGATCTCAAGACAAGAATGTGGGAACTGAGATGTTTTCACTAATCAATTATTAAAGGGCAAGCAGTTGTCTTTGATGGCAGGGACATTGTGAAACTCAAATAATTGTAGAAAAAACTTTTGTTGTATCAGGATTGTTAGTAAAGTTTCCAGGGACATCATTAAAACATATTTAGAGGAATAGTTTTGTACAGGCAGACAAAACTTGAGCAGCCCATTGTTTCATATTAGTATATACTCTGTCTAGTAAGAACCTAGTCTGTAAATCCAATATTGTTTTGATGCACTTTCATCTTGTAGTGATTTCCACAACTGATACATGTATGTCTTAAACCTACAAAAAAATGTAAAGATTAAAACAATTTTATTAAAACTGTAAAATAGGACTTAACGGTCTCCTGTCTGGATTTGGAGGGAGTCAGGTGATACAGGGGCAAGCAGAGATTCTCATCTATAATCTTCTTTATAGCATTAATGCTTTATCGTTTTAGTGGTCGTCTTTTCCTTTAATGGCACAACATGGGACTTACAGTAAGGCAGTGTAGTACAAATCTATCTTCTTAAAAACTCAAAGAATTAACTAAAATGTAAATACGTTATTGCATACATCAGTAGAATGTTACTGTAATGAATAAGCATGTGCCAGATCTATCTGGTTCCTTTCATATTTCATTAAATTCTCAGCAAGACAATCAAGAAGCATTAACAGAAATTTATGCTGGCTGCATCATTTTTATCTGTTGTGTTTGCAATAATTCCTAATATATTTGTTAAATCTCTCTTTAATATTTATGTTTTTTCTGGTGTTACAGACATTTGTTATTTGAGTATAATTTTGAATTAATGATCATTTAATTAACTGCATATGTACTTTGTTCTGTTATTGAAGGATTTACTGAAGTGGAAGAAATGTGATTAGGAGAAATTGCTTATGTAGTTCCACCAGAGTTGAGTGGCTGAGAACCTAATGTCTCTGAGTGTAGCTGTGGTGGTTGTGGTGAGTCACTGCAGCTCTCAGGCTTCTTCATTTGCCCCAATACTACTGGAGCCCACTCCATGGATTGTACAACTGGATACTTTTAAACCCAACAAGTACCTGGGTACCAAATCATACAGGTCTTTTTCTTAAAATTGAACTCTATGTAACCCTATGACAGAAGAAGAATGAGCACCTGGTTATGCACCAGATCACTGAGAGTTGTGGTTTGAGATTCAGCCTCAAACTGAGGGGACTTACAGAGACGCTGAAGTCAAGTGCACCCACTTTGATTTCAGCAGCTGTCATCGAGTGGCTTCCCCGAGTGTGGTCCCTGAGTGACCTCCCCGAGTGTGGTCCCTGAGTGACCTCCCCGAGTGTGGTCCCTGAGTGACCTCCGTGAGTATGGTCACTGAGTGACCTCCGTGAGTATGGTCACTGAGTGACCTCCCTGAGTATGGTCACTGAGTGACATTCGGGGTATGGCCTTCCTGAGTATGGTCACTGAGTGACCTCCCTGGGTATGGGAATTGAGTGACCTCCCTGGGTATGGTCCCTGAGTGACCTCCCTGGGTATGGGCATTGAGTGACCTCCCTGAATATGGGCACTGTGACCTCCTTGAGTATGGTCACTGAGTGACCTCCCTGGGTATGGTCTGAGTGACCCTGAGTGTGGTCACTGAGTGACCTCCCTGAATATGGTCACTGAGTGACCTTCCTGGGTATGGTCACTGAGCGACCCTGAGTGTGGGCACTGAGTGACCTCTCTGGGTATGGTCACTGAGTGACCTCCCTGGGTATGGGAACTGAGTGACCTCCCTGGGTATGGGCACTGAGTGACCTCTCTGGGTATGGGCACTGAGTGACCTCTCTGGGTATGGTCACTGAGTGACCTCTCTGGGTATGGGCACTGAGTGACCTCTCT